ATTGTGGTGCTTTTCATATTTACTAAAAGACAACAACAACAAAAAAAACCAAATCAAAACAAAAAAGCAAGCACTTTAAATCAAAGTTTCTGAAGGGGTCAACACCTTGCTGAACAAAATAACTCATTTATTCATTTTTAGAAATCTCCTGGTGATAAATTACATTGATGTTAATCACTTTACTGCACACTATGCAATAAATATTTGTACTTGACAGAAATGTAAGGACTGCTGGAGATGCAACAGCAGAATCTAAGGCTGATTTTGAACATAATTGGGTGCAAGAATTCTCCCTTTGTAACAGAAGAGGCTGAAACAGATTCCATTGGCATATATTTTCAAAGTACATGTATAGATATTATAAGAATGAATGTGCAATTAATTATAGCTTCAGAAAAGCAAAGAGAAAACAACCCTGAGAAAATACGAGATCCAGACTTTGACACTTTTGCTTCCAGTATCAGGTAATGAGATAAGGAAAAGTACCACAAAGGCTGGACTGAAATGTCTCCGTGAATATCCAGTTCCATTCAATTCCTTAATGATATTTTAATGCATTTTGTTGCTTCATTTCCTTTCTAAAATTACACTCGACGTGCAGGTCTCCCATCCCTCCCTGATGGATCTGGCTCACAAAAAGCAAGGAGCTGCAGGCCGGGATGTTTCCAGCAGGCTGCGGCCGCCGGGTCAGCCGCTCGCCGGCCTGGCCATTAATCAAGCGTGAAAGTGTTATCGTGGCTGCGAGTACGTGGCCCCATTTGTCAAACCCTCTTTGCTTTGCAGCAGCACTAGCAGGAGGCTTTCATACATATTACCTAGCGCTTGTTTGCAGAGATTTCTTTTTTTAATAACACACCCCACATTCATGTAAAAGCCGGAGGGGTGCGGCCGCGGGGCCAGCCGCTCGCCGGCCTGGCCATTAATCAAGCGTGAAAGTGTTATCGTGGCTGCGAGTACGTGGCCCCATTTGTCAAACCCTCTTTGCTTTGCAGCAGCACTAGCAGGAGGCTTTCATACATATTACCTAGCGCTTGTTTGCAGAGATTTCTTTTTTTAATAACACACCCCACATTCATGTAAAAGTATTCACCTCAAAACTTCAACAAGGGCCAGGCTGGGCCACGTTACATATGCAACAAGCAGCTCACTCCATGAGTAGGACAGGTTAGTAATTCAGCTCCAATCAGCCCTACTCACAGCTTTGCTGACCACAGCAGAACAGTCTCTCCCCTCCAAACCTGCACTGGGAACTTGCTGCTCATTTTTAAATAAATAAATATAAAAATCAATTTTAAATAAAATGTTTTTAGGGCGCAGTACCAAGGGACAGGTGTGTGTTGTGACAGCCCACCAGGAATGCAGGATGGCCACTGGTTAGCCCTAGCAGAAGCCCCCCATGCACAAGCAGAGGAGCAGGAGCTCCAGTTCCCCCTCTCTGGGGGAGATGTGACAGTTCCAGCACCTGAGGAGATGCTGGGAAGGACCCAGGGAGAGCCCAGGGCAGCAGCAAGACCCCCACGGCATGTGACACCCCTCCAGAAGCACAGCTGGCTGCCTTCTCCTGCCCTAGGACATCTGGAATAGCCCCAGCCTGGGCTGAGGAGACCCACTGCCAGTTAGAAACAGCTCCTGAAGCCATGGAGAAACTTACACAACCCAAAACCCCAAAGTCTGCAACTTGCTTTCAACTACAACACAGAAGAAGATGTTCAAATGAACTGTTTTTAAGACAGTGTGAAGTAGGTTGCTTTGCAGACTTTCTGCACCTTTCTTTCTTTTTTTGGCAGAGGAAAAAAAATTCAATAAAACAAATGCATGTTTTAGCCAACACCTCCAAACAAGCTCAAGTACCAATGCTCCAGATTGTCACTGACACTTAAGGTCCTCACTTACCAAAAGACATTTGACGTAAAAATAAAAAAAGAAAGAAAAAAGAAAATCACCTTAAAGAGAGAAAAGGCAAACACTTTGAAGGGAGAAGGAAGGGACTCTGGGGGAAGGATTGCCTCCATCCTCCTCTCCACCATCAGCCCCCTGAACCTCTGTCCTGCTGTGTCCCAGAAGCCATCACTGCAGCCCTAAAGCAGCCCATGAGGAACAGCAGCAGCTTATTCTGCCTGGCAAACGTCTGGACCATGTGGGAGGGTGACCTCAGAAAACACCTGTCCTGTTTTTCCTTTTATACAAAGCAACAACCAACAACTTTTGACTTGCATCTTACAAAAAAATATCTGTACTCTGGAATTTAGTCAGACAAAAAATAGCTCCTTATCTGAGCAGGTTCCATCCATCATCCTCCTGTCCCTTCCCAATGCATTTCATGCTCGAGTTGGACACATTAAGTGCAGAGAAATACATCTACTGAGAAAAATACCTCCCTGTGCCCTGCTGATGGTTCACAGAGGGAGGTCTGTGGTGCCCTTGGTGGCAACGGGCAGGACTTATGGGGCAAGAAGGTAAGAGCAGCCACTCAAGCAGGCGACCCAGCTCAGTGATGTGGCACAGCACCTCCCCAGCTGCAAGGACAGCAGTGTCACCTGGCCTGCCTGCACAACCAGTGGGTGGGAGTTCTTTGCTCTGCCTGCCAATCCTGTCTCCAATAAGCAACTGAGAAGGTATCGATTAGGCCTGATTATAGGAGCCTAAGTTCCCCAAGAGGTCAAGCCTGTGTCCACAGGACATGCCAGTCCATGAAGACAAGAGGATCTTCCTCCTGCTTGTGCTCTCCATTGGTCAACAAGTGTCAGCTCGAAGCAGGAAAAGCTCAAGGGTGAAAGTTTGCTCTGCAAACGCCTTTTCTACCCTAAGCTCAAGTCCAACAGCAGGTATTAAATGCAAATGTCTGGACAGGCTCCAGCACATGAAGTCCTGAAGCTGCTAATTGCTGGGAGCCGCAAGGTTGTGACGCACGCCATGTTCTTCTGCTGGCGCCCTTGCCTCAAGCCATCTGCTGCTGCCCACTGGAGGAACTCACCAGACTAACGTGGTTTCCCCCCCCTGCCAATCCTGTCTCCAATAAGCAACTGAGAAGGTATCGATTAGGCCTGATTATAGGAGCCTAAGTTCCCCAAGAGGTCAAGCCTGTGTCCACAGGACATGCCAGTCCATGAAGACAAGAGGATCTTCCTCCTGCTTGTGCTCTCCATTGGTCAACAAGTGTCAGCTCGAAGCAGGAAAAGCTCAAGGGTGAAAGTTTGCTCTGCAAACGCCTTTTCTACCCTAAGCTCAAGTCCAACAGCAGGTATTAAATGCAAATGTCTGGACAGGCTCCAGCACATGAAGTCCTGAAGCTGCTAATTGCTGGGAGCCGCAAGGTTGTGACGCACGCCATGTTCTTCTGCTGGCGCCCTTGCCTCAAGCCATCTGCTGCTGCCCACTGGAGGAACTCACCAGACTAACGTGGGTCAAGTCCCCATATATAAACATAATTACTTTTAACAAGCTCAGAGTTTAATTCAGACTAGTACATGAAACCAAACCCACCTCAAAGCCCTTGTCCTCTCCTCCTTGCTCCTTTCTGAGGAGCTCCATCCCCAACAAACAGCTCCAGAACAACCCAAGGTGATGCTAAAACCAGTGCTAGGGGCAGAAAGCAACACCACAGTTGCAGCAGGAGCACCCAGAGCATCAGCTGAGAATTGTGTGAGTCCCCTAGGACATCCAAATTACTGTAAAGGCTGACACAAAAAATCATAATGGGATTTACCTAAGGGAGAATGGGAAAAAATGTTAAATTTTTTTCAGAAACAGCAGCCCTCTCCTATCCCATCAAACGATGAGGATTTCTGAAAGGAAGCCTCAGGGTAATCTGATGTCCTTTCAAACAGGGCAAGAAGCTCTGCAAGATTTCAATACCCCTGCACAGGAGGGGAGATGGGATTTTTTTTCCCTGTTAAGTATTTGATCAAGCCTCACAAAGGTGCTAATGTATTATTAAAGCTAATGGAGCTCTACAAGAAATGTTAATGGACATTAAGTTTGCATAAATGAATTACACATTAGCACAGTTGCAAGAAATCTAGTATCTGCCAATTTAGGCAGTATCTGATCATTTCTGTTTTCCTCATTACAGGAACATTACTTCCCGCTAGTTCCCGAGATATGAGAATTGTAACCAAGATGTTCATAATGAAACTACATAATGAAGCAAATGCAATAAATTAATACAAAACTTCCTTTTCCCCTTCTAATGCAATGCTACAGTTGAAATAAACCTACAAAAACAGGCCCTGTGCATCCTCCCAGCACCCCAGCTGCGAGCACTGCCTGCCCGGGCTGTGGGAGCCAGTCCCTGGCAGAGCTGTGTGTGGGCAGCAGCTCCCTCACCTCCACCAGCTGATGTTTGGGCATGGCTGCATTTGCACCCCAGGTACTACTTTCAAGCACCTTCTCTTAAACCCTGTTAATGTCAGACAGTAAACCAGTTCCTAAACAAAGTGAAACATGTTATTAACACTGAACCTGTCAGGAGCATCATAGAAAACAGGCTGGTTTTAATCAGCAGTGTTACTACAGATCTCACACAGCTTGTGTTGCTCTGATTTTGAAAACCCTTTGGTGCTGCATGTTCACAATGCACAATACTGAGTTTCTTTTGCACAGCACCAAGTTTTTGCCAGTAAACTCTAATGGTGGCCAGTCGCTTTGATGTGGTGGTACAGAAATGCTTTTCAAAGAGATAAGTAGGTCGCTGAAAGAAAAATACTCAGATTTGATCTGTTCTGACAATTATAAAGCCCAGCCAGGAACCTTTGATGGTGCAAATCCTATGTACAGAAAAGTCTTCCTTAAGAGAACAAAAGTATGTATTTACTGTACTGCAGAAGGGCTAGGAAAAATCATGGCTTAACCCGTGAAGTGGTACCCAACTTTTTTACTTCCATTTTTAAATAACAAGATCTGATCCCCATCTATTGCATAATGTTCCTGTAGTGAACAGATCCTGAACTCTTAAGCGAGCAATTTAATACATTAGAAGAATTAATAGTTCTGCTACTCACACATGACTTCCAGGTAACGCTGCGTCTGCAAGTCTTTGACAGCAGGATGATCCACCAGGCAGATGACGGGGACCCCGTCGTCCTCCCGTCCCACCTTCAGCACCAGCTGGCTGGTGACCGTGTACATGTCGGACCACTGCTCCACCTCTGACTTGCCTGCAGGAGAGGATGGAGAGAGCAGAGCGTGATGATGAGAGAGGATTTTACCACCTCTCCCTCAGGCTGCTGCCAATTACAGGCCCCACTGCAGTACCACAAGGATTAACAATCCCCTTACACCATCTCCAAATCCCCAAACTCCTAAATCAATGAGTTACAAATCCCCTCCCACTCTTGAATCAACAGTTAGCAAGAAAAGTGATTAAACAGATTAGCTTAATTAAAAGTAGTATTGATAGGCTGAATTTGAAGGCCAGAAGAGCCACAGTGGTTGGAGTTGAAGACTGGGCTGCCTGGTGGGTGCCAGAATGCACGGCACAGAAACGAGGAGGGGGCAAAGACAAGGCAGGAGAAAAGGGATTTTTCCACCAATTCAGCCAGCACTTGCTGACAACACCTCTCTGCTTCACTTTCAAATACTCTTCTCTGTGGCTTTGCATTGAAGAATTCACAGTTAAAACGTTAATAGTAACTTTGGTAGTAGAGGTCTCTCAAAACAGAACATCATTCTGTGTAAATACACTAAAGTGAAACAGAGGAGAGCTGCAGAAAGTGACACCCCTTGATATTCAGAGGAGAGGCTTTCTGATAGCAAAAGTATGCTCTCCCCTATTCAAAACCAAGGATTTCAGTTTCTCTACTTCTGTTTAAAAAAAAAAATAAAAAATCCAATGAATCAGCAGGGTGAGCTGGTACTGCAAGAAGCCACTACTCAGCTGAGCATCCTCAAAGGGAAAGGAAAGCTGGGCTCCAGTTCTCAGCACAAGAAATCTCAGTCAAGAAGCCAGACAGGCCAAGCATGAAGGGTCAAATATTACTGCTGGAAGGGGGAAGGATCCCCAGAGGGGGATCACTGGAGGATCTGCCCATCACGTCCATGACAAGCAGTGCTGGGAACCAGAGGGGTACCCCTTGGCATGGCAGCAGGTCTGCATCCCACCTTCACCAGCACACTCGGATGCTCATAGGTGCTGCACTCACAGAGGGGATTTTATCTTGCCCTTATAGGGGGGTGGACTGAAGTAATGAGTCTGGACTTCTGGAGAGAGCCCTTCAGTATCTCAGACCGGGTAAGGCACAAAGGTGCTGTCAACCAAGCTCACATCTACGTGCAGACTTAAACCAACAGCACGTCACATGCAATCAGAGCCAGTGACTGCAACGTGCAAATACCGGGAGCAGCCAGACTTGAGGGACTTGGAGAAACCCATCTCCTATGAATATTCCACTGAACCCAGGGAAAGTGCTCTATCAACAAGAGAGCTAAATGTGGAGGGGAACTGAAAATCTTCACAGCCCAAAGCGCAGATGATCCTGCTTGTACCTGAAACAGGGCAGAGAGCTACAGAAACCACAGCAGAAATCAATTCAGTGCACAGCTTTGGGGCTCCTCAAGGTCATGGGCAGTCAGAGAAAGCTGCCAGAACCCTGCACTCAAGTCTGGCAGGTAGGCAGAGGACAAAATGGAGTGCAGCTCTTCTGTGTTAGAGAATAATCTGTCTGCCCACATACTCCTTTGTTCCTGAGCTGGCGTTCAAAGCAGCTCACTCTACTTTTTTTTTTTCCTCTTTTTTTTTCTCCCCCCTTAAACTGGCAACGGGGAACAAATACCCAGCATTACATAAATCTTTTCAGCTCTCTGAAAAAAGCAAATGACTGAGAAGATACGTGTACCGGTTAGCTCCTTGTTTCCTTTGAACCACCTGATGGTGGTGGCTGGTCTGCTGGCCATGGCAGTGCAGTTCAGCTCTATCTCTTCTCCCTCAATAGCAGTTTCCTTCTGGATATCGATCACCAAATTGCGTGGTGGGACTACAACAAAAAACACAACACCACACACACTTGGTGAAAAAACCATTTTTTGATCACTAATGTAAGAAAACACCTTCAGGAAAACCCATAAAATCTACTAATGGAAACCAGCCACCAGCACTTATTTGATCTTTCAATCGATCAAATCCTTTGATAGGCGGTTTCACAGTAATCAAAGTAAGCACTTTCACTCTCCACCTAATAATCATTGCCGTTTTGCAAATTATTACTTATCCAATGTGCAGCTTTCTGTTCTCTCTCCCAGGCAGGCACCATTCCAGGGAAGAGCTCTACTCTTCCACGCTATTCAGCTGTGTGTGTTGTGAGTTAAAAATACAGCTTGACTCCATGCACATTCCTTGACTTCTTCTTGACAAGGAGAGGAAACACAGAAGCTGACATTTGGAAGTGCATTACTTACCGTGCCTCTAACCCCGCATGGCAATTTTTCTCTCCTGCTGTTCAGCTCCAAGCCCCCGCCGTAAGGCGTGGAAGCAGGCCAGCAAACATCATGCTCATTTAAGACGCTTAAAAAGCCACCGAGCACAAGCCCAAAGTGGAATGCTGTCACCTTGGGAACAACGCTGCGTCCCCTGCCGAACCACCATAAACCAACACAAACCCCTCCTGAGAGGGGGGAGCCAGCCCTGCATTCAGCGACAGGCACTGCGGCAACTCCTGTGGGGTTGCTGTCTCCCCAGACGTGCATCTTCTTATAAAACATGAAGCTAGAAGAGTCTTCTCAATGAAAAACAACCCAGTAACGTTCAGAAGCTGGCTAGAACTTCAGAGGGATTAACCACCACCACAGCACAAGCCAGAGCTGTGGCCAACAAGCTCAGAAATGACAACACAGCAACGAAAATCTCTTCCCTGTGGAAGCACCCATAGCTAGTGAGGCAAAAACCAGAAAAAAGTGAACACCAAAAGTTCCTGCAGTTCAGATCTGCAGTTTCAGAAGAAACCCCAGACTTCCAAAGGAAACTCAACTTTGCTCTGATCCATATGATTAAGCAACTGCATAGTTCAAATGTGACTAACATGTTTCTGAGCTAATGAAGAACAAATATGTATAAATACCATCCAGATGATCAAATGGACTAATTAGTCACTTGTGGCTCTTCTCTAAAACGAACAGAATGGGCTACATATTTGAGATTTTCACATGTTCCAATTAAGCATGAATAAATCTACATATTGTGTCACAGAAGACATTACACAGGAGAGAGGGGGAAGCAGCTGCAGGAACAAGCGAGCGCAAAGCTCTCACCGAATAGTGAGTACAAAGAAGGAGGCCTCAAACCTTCGCTGGGCTCCCTGATGCCAGGGTCATTAGAAGCCAATCAGCAAAACTGCTCTTTGATAGAGCTGAAGATGCATGAAAGTCAGTGATGAGATCTTTGGTGGGGAGTGCACTTTTGGGAGGACCAGGTGTATACCGGCACGGAGAACTGCACCCCCACCCCAGATCATTTGTTCTCCTAATAAAGAAGTCAATAATAGGGAAGATGTGTTATATCCTTGGTGTCATGTTGCCTTCCCATCCCTGGGTACAAACTCTAAGATAAACAACCCCATCCCTAGTCTTGTAATAATAAAAATCCATCCTCACTGCCTGCTCCTGGAACTAAGGTTTGGCCCAAGGATGTGCTGCAGGTGAAGAGGAAACACCTGGGCAAAGGCAGATACACACAGGCCATCCTGCAAATCCTTCTCCGAAATAAACGAGGTATGAGGCAAGAAAACAGACTTTCCCCTGAATTATGAAACACTAGTCATGTTTAAAAAAAACCCAAACAACAAAAGAACTGCATTTTGACTCCCCTGAAAGACAGGTAGTGCTGTCTTAAGGAAGTACTAGTATTTCAAACACCTTCTTAGCATTGTTGGCAGTGAAATGAAATCCAGCAAAGTATCTGTGCGTGCATATGATTAAAGAGAAGAGCTGGAAGAGAGTTGCCTGCTCCTGTGAATCCTGGAAAGTGCACTAAGACTTTGAAGATGTTGATAAACGTAATATAGTAGAACTGCTTATAAACATTACTCAAGCAACGTCTAAAAAACCCAAGAACCAAGTCTCATTAAATAAAAGAAGGAAGATTTAAACTAATCAGCGAGTGAAATCTTACATTAGGTCACCCTCTGATGCAGGTTCCCCTATTAATAGAGTCTTAAAAGCCGCTGCTAATCTGCAGAAACAGCTCTAATAGCCTGAGCTGCTGTTCCTGGCATCGGCATCACTCCTGCCACATGTGTTGGTGCCTCGCACGGCCCGAGGGCAAAGGCAGGAGCTGGGGAGGGCAAACAGCCATTCCTAAAGCAAGTGAGCAACTTAGGGTGTCAAATGAGAGATCTTACATCCTTTTCCAAGTGAAACAAATTTTCACTGAAATTAATTGGAAGCTGTGGATATATGTGACAAGCACACAAACACTTCCACAACTTCACATTGGCAGGAGGTTCACCAGTGATGCTGCTAGTGACATCTGTCCTTAAGGGATATCATTGATGGGCAAGGATGCTGCCACTTGTCATTAAAATGTAATCTCTCAAACCCCCAGGTTTTGAAAGAAAAGATGCAGATGTGATCAGAGCAGTCTGATTACCAAAACCACAGAATTCATAACCTGAACAGATCTACATGTTACCAAGCATTCCTCTTCATTCATTCTCCCTCTCCATAGCAGGTAATTATTGAAATAAATTTTTTTACAGCTTTTACTTCCTGGCTGACTTCTTTCTCACTTCACCAGAAGAGACACAACCACTGTAACTCATCTTCCCTTCTTCCCAAGAGCCTTTCTTTGCCCCAGAGAAAGTGGAGAAGAGATGGAGGAAGGAGAGGCTGGCACAGCTCCTGCTTCTGCCTGCACTAACCTTCCTTCCAGGATCTCAGCAGGTCCGGACCTGCTCAAAAAGCCAAATTATTCACACAGATACTCCTACAGAGCAGAGACAGCACCAACAAGTCACCCGTACAGGCTGTCTGCAAATGAAGGTAGGCATTAAACCCTACGCCACAGAGAGCAGGAAAACCTCAAGGCCTTTCCCAGTAAAGGAGAGGCTGGGAAGTGGAGAACACCTCTGCTTACATCTCTGCTTCTTTTCAAAGCCAAACATCCACTCTGAACAAAAAGGGGAAGACCCAAGAATCACACTAAATACAACCTAACCTACAAAGAGAGGCTCAGAGTACAAGTGGGGTGCCTTACAAGGCAGGAGGGTGACACGAAGGCTATGGTGTGCCACTGGACACCACTTGGTGTCTGCTGGCAACCCTTGAGCATCTTGTGTCTGCAGGTTCCAGCCCTACACTGCACTGAGCTACTGAAGAGCTGGGCTGGTCTCCAGTGGGAGAGCACATGGTGTTCCAGGCCTTGCTGTGTTTAATCACTGGAGAACTGTGGCTCTCCCTGGGTGTCTGGAGTTCTGCCACTGCCATGTGGAGCCCCATCCCGCTGGCCCTGTTCCTCCAGGCATCACAGAGTTCACCATGAGCACCTCTTTGGTCCTTACCAAGCACAGTAATTGTGGTATAAATTTCCTGGGGGGGATCAGTGTAGAGCTGGCAGAAGTACCTTCCCTCATCAGAAATGGAGACGTTCGTCAAGGAGACTCGGAGCTCACTGTTGGAGAAGTTCACCAGCTGGAATCTGCTGTCCTTCAGTGCTGTGGAGCAAGGACACCCTTAGTGACCACAAGGAGAGACACGGGGGTCCCCACTCACCATCCAGCAAAGTCAAAGGTCTCTAAAAACGGCAGCAACATCTGGAGAAGCCCCCCCAGGTTCCTGACTGCATCTTCCACCCTGCTTCTTACCTTTGAGGCTACATTCCCATAGAGACACTAAAGCAGATAATTCACAGCGCTGCATGGCAGTGACTGTGCTCTGTGGTACCGTCACAAGAGGGAACAAAGCCAGAGTCAGGCACTGGACACGGCTGTGATAGGAGATTTTGTTTTGGTTGTAAAGCAGCAAAGATTTTATCAAAATTTTCATTCTGTGAACCAAACAGATTACCTCTGAGAACACTGTCTTGGTGTTGCCCTATTCAATTTGTTTGTGTCAGCTAAATATTTGGCACTCAATTGCAATTCACCCTGAATTACTACAATCAATTCCTATTGCAAAGTAAGACGGTCTGACTTTTAGAGGGGACCATCAAGGTTTTCATTAAGGAGAAAGATTATGATTGCTTGTCTCATCTACCCTCTAAAGAATTGACTAAACTTCAGCTGCCTGGCATTACATTAAAATAAGAGATCTCAGCAAACACACTTTCCCGAGTGCAGGTGAGGAGCAGGAAAAGTTGTTATCAAAGAAGGAAAACCGACACTTACGTCTGAAATCCCTGAAATAAATCGTTTGTCTGTTGGGATTCAGGAGCTGGATCACAGAGTCATCGCTGTTCTTGACCCGGCAGCTGATGGTGGCCACATCTCCCTCCACCACAGTCACATCTTCAGTAACCAGGTTCTGACCATCACCTTGGAAAGAGCAAAGGGGAAACAGCAAAATCAGGGATGACAGCAGCAAGTTTCACAGGGAAATGGGAAGCTCCACCACTGCCACAAGCTGCACAGATTCCATCAGCCCCACGAAAAACACTCAGACCAGCAATGCCAGGGAGTACGAACACATCTTCCCTGCCAAACTGTACTGAGGAGTCACTGGGAGGGAGCTCTGCAACAGGAACAGAGGAAAAAGGACCACTCCATGGCTGACTCTGTGTACACTGACCACTGTACGCCCTCATTACAGCACATGATTTTGATCCCTAATAACCCATTTTTACCCTGGCACTTTCTCTCTGCTGTATTTTAAAGTGTGACCAAAGGCACGAGGGAAAGATCCCCCTGGATGCCAGATGCTCCTCCATGCTTTAATACTCACATCAGCCTCAGGGGAGCAACTTCCACACCACATGCATGAAAATGGCAGAAATTCGCTTCCCCTCTCAACAGATGAATTTTGTTAAATTACCTTGAAAGAACAATTCACTGTAAGAAGCATTTATCCTTTGACTTGAGCAGATAGACTTTAGGGAACCGGTTTTTACTCACTCTGTGCAATCAGTAGGTGCTATTAATGTCCAGAGGCAGGAAAAAAAGAATTTGATGCAATTATGCTGTGGGAGCCTTGTAATCATTTACAGGTCATCACCTCGAAAACTCTCCTCCTAATGAATCGAATCATTACATCACATGCACGCTGAGAAATTTGCTTCACATGTTAAAGAGTGCAGAGGATGGGAATTTGAGAGCAGCGCTTTGCATTTCAATCTTTCCGTAAGTACCGAGTGGCTGTTGAGTTAGGCAGTGAGCTGGAGGAGTGCAGAGCCCAGGCAGGAGCAGGGACACCACCCGGGGAACGCTAATTGGAGTCCCTTGGGTAATAACTTCACTCTGCTTCCAAACCAGGCAGGCGTCATGGAGCAGGAGGCAAAGCGAAGTAAGAGAAATTCTGAAGCTTTGATAGCTGATGTGCCAACCCAAGTGGAGGCAGGTGGGCATCTGGCCATGGGCTGGTGGCCAGGAGAAGGCCTCTGCTGATTAACAGCACTGGGACCAGCAGGGAGTTTTCCAGGTTTGCCATGGAAAACACAACTATGCAAGATGATAAAATTCATTCACAGTAAATCAGGGTATGATTTTTCTCATCTCACCTTCTCTCCATTTTTCTTTCTTTCTGACTTTGTGTATTATTTGACGTGCCTTGGGAAGAAAAGTTTGACAAGAAGCCTGCATCACTTGGAAGGAATGAGGCTGACAACTCGTCAGACACCTCCCCATGCCAGGTGGCACTGAGTAGAAATCTGGGCACATTTCTCTGCCCTTGGTATAAATTTCACGTCTCCAGGCTGACAAACTTTAAGCAGCAACATAGAGAGTTGTTATTGACCAGGATCACACTTGCACCGGAGCAGAGTCCCCCAGGCCTGTTGGGAGAGGTGGCAGCAGCACAGAGCCCAGCCTTGGCAGCCACGGTCAGCTCCATCATCAAAGGCCTTCCAGTGGCTCCAGAGCAGCACAAGCAAAAATGTTCAACCTTACTAATGGCTTCTGGGGAATAATTTTATCAAACCCATTCAAAACAAGGTTCTTGCACAAGGATCTGCTTGATATATTCTCATAAACGCAATATTCACTACAAATCATTAACAAAGCTATTAAGATTCGATTTCCATCTAAGCAATTATTGCTAGCATATTTTTTTACATTTACTTTAAAAGACTCAATCCTATTTTCAATTCATTAAACTGTTCCTTGCATTTACTGAGTTTTACATCAGCTTAGAAGCCTATTTGAATTAATAAGAATTACAGTAGAAGTAATTTAGAAATAAATTATTTGAAGTTCAAGCCATGGAAGCTTTTCACGCTGGGATGCTGCTACATTAAGCTCCACTGACTGATGGCTTTAGAAGTCTGGGCTCTCAGTCCAGGCTGGCATCAAGCTCCCTCTCAAGACAGTGTTTCTTCTCCCCGGGGTGTAAGAGAGGCAGGGTGCATGTGAGGACACAGGGAACCCAGGGCTTGGAGCAGCCGTGCAGAGCTCTAGCCTCATGGACTTTGTGTATTGATTCCGAATCACAGGGCGTCTAATCCGGCCCTTGTCTGCAAAGCTCCTCTTGCTCTGCTGACCTCAATTTGCTTGCTCAACCGAAAGCACCAGACCGTGCACATCAACGCTTCTGAGTATCTGCATGCATCCCTGCTTCTGCTTCCCAAGACAAGGCAGCCATTTCCACCAGCAGTGTAAACTACAAACTCCAAATCACATAAAAACACAAGGTGAAGTGAGAACTCTTTAGTCCCATCTCCATGTCAATGTTTCAGGAAGTTTCCTGGTAAACATTTACTAGCAGTATGTAAGCATTTTGAGGTGCATTAAAGTAGACAAACTTAGAGCATTACAATAGGTTGTAACAGACAAGAAAAGGTTTGGGGGAGGGAAATCAAGCTTATGGAGAACAGAGAACCACAGAAGCTGAGAGAAGCAAAGGAAAACTACTGTTAAAAAACAACTTTAAATAACCTGCCACTTAAAAACACTTTGGGGACAGAGCATGAGTGAGACAATAAAGATTAAATTACATAGGGTAAATGTTCGTCTGCTACATGGACTATAAATACCTCATGCATTGTCTTTATAGCAGGTAACAGTTTCCTGCTGGTAAGTGCAATCCAAAGTACAAATCCTCTCCCCAGTGTGAGATGTGCATCACGGACAGAGTCCAGGACCTAACATGGAGTCTTGATCATCTTGATTTTGAGTACAAGGTGCTGCTATTGAGGGAAAAGGACCCTGAACAAAGCCAGGCTCTGAGAAGGGCTTCAGGGTGGACTGCTGAATATCCACAATGTATGAACACGCTATTAATGAGCAAGTGTAATAGCTGGAACAGCTCTCTGCACTGCCAGGGGAAGGCAAAAAATGTGACACGTGTTTTCTGTATTACCCAAAGCAACTCTCTGGCCTCATTTACTGAATCTCTCTGTGTAAAGAAGTACATCATATTTTACACTTACTGGAAGGGGGAGTACGGCAGAGGGATGCAATGCCTGAAGAACAGCTTTGGCTGGAACCTACACAATTAATTTTTGCACTTGGAGCAGTGCAGCCTTTGCTTTTAAGACTGCAAGGACAGACACAGACACGTAAATTATGTTTCAAACAAGTTCCTCTTAGCTGGACAAAGCCCAGGGACCTTGGCTCATCTGCAGCAGTCACACTTAAAATAAATTCTTTCTCCACTTGCAGCTTACTGGGATAGAGTGAAGTGTCAGGGAGAACAGAGGGAAAGATTAAAATTATGTGCTTGTGAGCATGATTCTTCAGTTTCTAACAAAACAGGAGCCACGGGTATCCATCACGAGCTGGTGAGGACACTGACACACACCTTCCAAGAAAGAGTGATTCTCCTCATACCTGAGCAAGGTAAGTCCATAGACTGAAACAGAATTCCTCTTGATAAATCGAGCCAAAGGAAACAACCCACACAGATATATAAACTATTTGTTCATGTGCTCAAGGAGAAGATGACAATGACGTTCCATCTGCAGAATTAATGTAATCTGACTGTCAAAACTCATCTCTCATTTTCAGCTATCTGAAAGGACTGCGGTGGTTAAACCACGAGCAAAAGCCGAGATAACGCTGAACAGGTTCTATAAACACCTCGCAAGCCACCTACTCCAAAAGCTTTGGTGCTACTTCTCTTCACTGAGCAGTTTCCATGCCCTCTCTATCCATCACAGAGATAGCATCCCCTTAAAAGAAACAGCACAACCAGTTTTTTGGAAGGACTGCAGGAATTGAGCAGACTTTCTGCCATGATCAGACCCAGGAACAAGAAGGAAATCAAATCACCATTTAACTTCTCTGCAGATTTGCTTCAAGGAGGGAGAAGAGGCTCAACAACGCTGTGCTGGAAGTTGTTGCTGGAGCTCTGTGCATCTGGTCCTGAAGTCTGGAGAGCCCATTTGAAAAGGCGACAATTGTCACACTTGAACTTTTGAGAAGAATGGACAATCCACTCTAATTGTGTTGGCAAGAAAAGGCAATCGCATTTTGCAGAGTTAATTTCATGACATCTTTTCACAGGCAAAAGAATGATAACAATTTTAGATCAGGCTGCCTGCAGAACACACGCACACGTGCGAGCACCCAACACGGCTTCCAGCAGAGGCTGCAGCTGAGGAGGTCCTGCTCCAGCAATGGGAAGGGCTGGCTCTGGATAGCTGTGCTGAAAAAACATGCAATAAAAATCAGTCTGCATTCCTCAACCTGTATTTGAAGTGTAGG